AAATTTGCATACTGTCTGAGAAAGATTGCTTGCTAACTCTTAAGATCACTAATACATAGGCTATTCAGAGCGATAAAGGACAGGAATTCAGGTAGTGCAGTGCTTTGCGCGCGCTTCCGGAAAGGGTAAGACGCGTGCTCAACTCGCGTCCGAGGTGCAAAGTTTTGCATACTACTCAACAAATGGTTTGGCTATTTACTCTAACGCAGCCCACGAGTAATTTGCAATGTAAACATCTACTCAAAAAAAGAAAATCGTTAATATCATATATCCAAAGACGCTTGAGTAGTATGCAAAACTTTCGACCACAGGCGGGATTTGAACCTGAGTTTCACTCACCACTCGGGAGCGCTTGCTACCACTACGTTACGGAGGTCACAGCTGCGTCACCACATTTTGTTGAAAAGAACTGTTGATATAACTTTTCTTCAAACCACATAAATCATACCTGTTCGTCAGTGAGAACAACATCAGTTCCGGACTGTCTATCGAACACTTTACGCCTGAAAATTCACGTTATACGTATTCATGCATAAATTAAATTGAGAAATTGAGACAATATTAGAAATACAGTAGCTCAAGAGGTGCGTTTGGGAATAAAATTCACAAATGTGCTTTTTTCAGAGGAGAGCAATGTTCATAATCTCTATAATCGAGTATCAGCTAATCTCGACAATGATTAAATAGTGAGTGATTTTTTGGCGAGCATATGTGAGATTGATCACAGCAAATTTTATTGAACACAGTTTAAATTCCTCTCTTCAACCCTTTCGAACCATGGACCCAACCCTCTGCGTCTCTAACCCCCGTGCTTGCGTCAGACATTGACGTCTAACAATGGAGCGTGTTGCGTCTAGCAATGCAAGCTGAGGTTAGACACTACTGTTAGACCCAACAAGTTCTGCTGTTAGACTTCATTGCTTGACGCAGCGCTCTGAGGTTAGAGACGCAGGGCTGGGTTTATGGTCTCGAAGAGGTCAAACTGAAGGTCACCTTTCAGATAGTTCATCGCCTCGTCGTGGCTGGGAGGTGTTCTTGGGTGCTCGACTGTGAATTACGAGGGGGTTTAACCGCCAGCAGGGCCACACAGGCTAGATTGTCCGATATTTTCACCTGAAGAGCACAGCTAAGAGTGAGCCGTAAGACAGGAATGACCGCCGTCCTGGTAGCTGATAAGTCGCAAGGTGGTAGTCTCCCTCTGATCCACAAGGGTTGGCGACTGCTCTTATGTGGTGGGAATCTGAAGAAGCTCGAGGTGCCAGGGAACAAAACAGCTACACATTTTTCTTGTGCTGAATCCCGCACTATACAGTGAAGGCGGACCGTTCAAATACCAAATAAACTAAGATTTCTCGAAACAGAGCCAATCAAACCTTCCACCTAATGTCAGATTTAGACTAATTTGACCGTAAAGGCCATTCGACATCAGTATCAATGGTACAAAATGCCTATTCAATGCCCAGAAAGCTTTCAGGGAGGTGATTTATTGAGTACAGTAAAACGATGGTGACATTTCAGCAGTATCGCCTTTCTCACAGCTGTTTCGTGTTCCTAAGTTACTCAGATATCCACTAGAGTTAAGTCGCATAGCGTCCTCCATAAGGTAGTAATGTACCTGATGCAGAACTCCATGCGGCCTATCTCTATCAAATAATCGGAAGAATGGGAAACAACGAAATAATCTGTATTTGGAAAAAGCTGTCCACCTTTCAAAAACTTTCTGCACCAAATCATCTGCTAAGGTTTTAAAGTATTTGACTGAGCAGATTACAAGTCAATCTGACCTTTTGAGGCTCCGATATAGTAATACCGCCGTTTGTCACACATTATTGTATTGTACTAAACTTTACCGCATGCTTTCTGCTATTAACAACCTCACATGTGTTCATTTAAGAAAACACAGAATTTTCTTAATCGATCAGACAAAAGTACTACAGAAATTACTTCAAACCCAGCTTGTAGAAGGGATCTGTGGTATTCACAAAGGTTTTAATGATACCGTTTGGTGCAAATCTGAGAAGACAATCTTATAACCAATTTTGAGCCTTTCATTTGGTCTGTTATGGCACTTATAAGGTGCTGGCCACGTGTTTGGGCCTTCCACCCTCACCAGTAGCATGCTGCCTTTCAGTTCAGCTAGTTCCTCGGAAGATAGCCCCTATATAAAGGAATCGATGTTGAACTTTTTACACCGATCGCACGATGAAAGGATTACCATGGCGCTCTTTCAGAAAGATTGATTGTCGATTACATGGCTTACGGTCACAAAGCATATGTAAGCAGTTCCTTTCAATCGACTGTTTCGAGGAGAACACCAAGTTATCAGATTCATTGTTTTTGACCGAGATCTCTAAACAGTCGATCGAAAGGATCTGGGAAGATATTGGCAGTCGAACTCATCAGTAGAAGCATTTAAGTCTCGTCCTTCTGAAATCCACAATGAAAAGTAAAATAGATGGTTCGATAGAGACTGACCAATAGTCCGGATCTTCCATTTTCTCAAGAAATGTGTCGATCTCGGTCTTCTTTTTCGGTTTCTCGATCTTCTCTCCCAGTTGATTGTAGCCAATGTGAGTTTCGTCGTCATACCAACTGATTGGAATATTCCCTATGGTGTTTCGAAGATCCTGAAATCGACCCACAGAAGTGGGATACGCTCGCTTCTAACAAGAAATCAATCCATACCTCCTCATCTGAAGAGTCGTATTCATACTCATCTGGCTCTCTACTACGTTTCTTAACCGCCTTGATCTCTCGGAGAGCTTTCTTATCGTCGTCTGCAGTCTCTTGAGGTTCACGAAATTTCTTCCTCTCACGATCGTCAACTGTTCGTTTCCTTCCAGCAACTGTGTCACCCTTCGCTTGTGCTGGCATTTCTGGAAAGAAACATGAAAGGATGTTGAAAATTCGGAAGAATATAATAACTGACGAATACACCTCGATGTGAAGGGCTTATCGATACAAATGAAAGCAGCTACGACCAAAATTACTGCAAGTAGCAACTTCCCGGGACTTCCGGATTGAGATGGGATAGCAGAACTTTTTTGAGTTTTTTTTCGTTAGACGGCACGGGATCAACGACCGACCCCTTTCGCTGGACAAGAGCTTTTCATAAGAGTGTTAGTAACGAGTCGAAAGCTTAAATCTCTGGCTAGCGCGGTACGCGACCGGCTTTCGAAAAGATCCTTTTACAACGCTGCAGAATCCAAAATAAATTGCTTTACATCGGCCGCGTAATTCAACTATTACTTCTCTGGGAACACAAAAAGCACATGGACGTGTAGAGGCGATCTCACTGCACCAGAGTGATACGTTTCCTGTGAAGTTTCTTTCAAAGTGAAGAAAAAATTCTCAATTGAATAACAAAAATCACAATACGCATATGCAAACCAAAGGTCCTATCAATCGATCGATGGCCGTATCAAAACAGCCCCGTCCGCGCTGGGCCCCGCTCCGCCCCTCCCCTCACCCCGTGGATTAGTCGAGATGCCCATACTCGCGCATGTAAATTTGACTTATTTTCCGTGCTGTACTGCAGAGAAGCCGTCTTTCCAGGAAATAAGCACAGCGTTGGGATCCCTAAATCTTACGCTATCGAATGATTATCAACTGTCTATAGTAAGAGCTATGTGTAGCGAGAAAAACGCGCGTGTGAAACACAAATGTTTTCCTTTCGCTGAAGCGTTATAAAGAAGATTTTCAAGAAAACGGCCACATACGGCGCTAGCCAGAGATTTAAGCTTTCGTATGATTACTAACACTCTTATGAAAAGTTCTTGCCCAGCGAAAGGGATGGGTTTGATCCCGTGACGTCTAACGGAGAAGTACCCTCTTTTCGTCATCAGCTTACTACCTTCAAGCCCGAAAAGTAGCAGAGTAGTAGAGTAGTATAGAAAGTACAAGAAGTACCTTCACTAGACCAGACCCTACATCACACCAAGTACCTTTTAGTCAAGATTTCCCGCCTTATAAGCTTCATAAAAGGATAAAGGATGAAGCTCTCGCCGTTGGTCAATCCCTGAGGGATGCGCCATGCATTCGTCTTCAATTACTAACCTCGTTTGAGGTGATTGAATGCATATCTGGCCTTTTACAATGATTCGCGGTGGCCTCCTGCTGAATCGAGTCAGTGCTGCTTATCCTCCCAGACAAGTCTGAGACCAGTCTGGTACCATTTACCGACCCCGTAGGGATGGATGGTTTGGTGGCCATAGGTGTGAGGTCGAACCATCGACGCTGTGTGCGACGTAGAGCACATCTAACCACTGCGCCATGTGCGCTCTATAAGTTTTATACGAGAAGAAAATTAAAGAAAAGAACGGAAAGGCAAGGTGAGCAAACGAATAGAAATGAGCAAAATGACAATGAAAACGAACGAATAAAGAATGAAAAGTAAAAAAAAACCGCGCTCCAGCTCATAAAACGTGACCCATTGCAAAGCTTTAGCTGAGACGTTTATTTGCCGTGTGTGTCCCCAAGCGTGTCCCCTTAGTTTAGGGTTAATTAGGGTTTAACAGTCGCCAGGAATTCTTCTGTTTTCACGCCGTGGAGTTCCTGAGATTCACTGGCTATTCGGACCAACGAAGCGATTCCTGAAGCGAAAAGATTTTCCTCCCTTTTCATTGAAATTTTCGCCGTTTTTCATCTCGAATTCAAGCCATCAATCAGTAATTTCGTATAGGTTTTTGTTTGTTGTTTATTTTGTATAACTGTTCAACTAAAAATCTTATTATTGACCGCTTTTAGCAAGGAATTGCGTGGTGAGTAAAATCAGACCTCAGCCGGGAGTCGAACCCGTGATTCACCCATACCGAGGGGCCCTCCTACCACTGCACCACAAGCACCACCATTCGTTCTTCGATGTGTCTATCGCAGCTCGAAACGAGCGTTTGCTGACGCTCCATCGTTCACGGGTTGATCTTGTGAGAACTTCGAAATACCAGAACCACATCAGCTATGATAGGGACACTGAGAATGAGTGGTGGTCGCAACACAGTGCCTCGGTGGTGTAGTGGTAGCACGCGCTTCCGGTACGCGTGAAACACGGGTTCGACTCCCGCCTGAGGTCGGATTTTTGCTCACCACTCAATTTTCTAAGGTTAAATCGAATATTGTGGAGTGACATGCAAGACTTTGAACGCTGGACAGGATTCGAATCCGCGTTCCACCCATTCCAGGGACGCCTGCTAGCCTTTGCACCACCGGCGCTCCCGTTCTGCCTTCACACCGGGGCCAGTGGCGACATCGGCTTGCCAGGTCAAACGGTTGACGATTTGTTACTGAAAAAAGATGCGTTGTGTCGCAAAAAAAAGTGATGATAGAGGAGCGCCGGTAGTGTAGTGTTTAGTACGTTTCCCGGAAAGGGTGAAATACGGGTTTGGATCCCGTCCAACGTTCAAAGTTTTGCATAGCACGCAACATTATTGAATGTATTCTTTTTTTTCTCAATAAAAACGTCAATTATCTTCTGAGGAAAGATTTCTTTTATAGATATAAGTCTTGACTATGATTTTTGGAAGGTTTGAATGACATCATTTGAGTAGATTCATAGAGTGGGCAGTACAAAGTTATCCCTGTAATGGCCGCCAAGCCCCTCATATGAGAAATCCATCTATCCATCTCTATTCATTAGTTAGTCCTATTATTCTTTGTTTCTTATTAGTTTTCGGGGGCCGTGGCCGCGTGGTTGTGATGCTTGTCGGTGCTGATCCTCGCCTCCAGCGGTCAGACAACCATTGTTCTATGGAACCCCTTTAGCCAGGCTATCCTTAAGATTGCAAGGAGACACGTTTAATCAGTATCCTACGACGTCCAAGAACTATTAAGCCCACAGCGGTTGTACTTCTGTGGTTCTTCTCCGACGGCACGGGATCAAAAACCAATCCATTTCGCTGGACAAAACTTTTCATAAGAGTGCTGGTAATCTTTCGAAAACTTAAATCTCTGGTCAGCGTCATATATGGCCATTTTTCGAAAAGACTCTTTCACAACGCTGCGAAATTCAGAATAAGACTGTGTTTTAGACCGGCCACGAAACCCAATTATTACTCCCCTGCCTCCCCCCCGCCCCCCACCTGTAGCCCAACCCGCAGCCCTTGAACTGACCACAGTACATTTACTTGCTTATGTGAACCAGTAGTATTTTCCCTACTACGCTGCGTAGAAGCGGTCTTTCCAGAGAATTAGCACAGTGTTCGAATCTAAAATTCTAACGCTATCAAATGATTACTATTAGTTCGGAGAAAGAGCTCTGTCCTGAGAGAAAAACGTGTGTATGAAACAAGAATGTTTTCCTTTTGTTGAAGCGTTGTGATAAATTTTTTCAAAAAACCAGGCGCGCAGGACGCTAGTCAGAGATACAAGCTTTCGAAAGCTCGCTGCTAACATTCTTATGAAAAATTCCGTCCAGCGAAAGGTGTAGGTTTTTGATTCCGTGCCGTTCAACAAGAAAGTATCTTTTTGTTTGATAGTGATAGAAGACTATAGAACACAGTATAGATCACTGACAGAACGTGCACACGGTTCAATCCTTTCGCCACGACGCGCAGTGCGAACGGTATTGAAAGAACTTATGGGGGTTATTTTCTTGATAGATCCTTTTACTACTATTTGAGCCAACTTGTCATGTGGTCTGGTAAGGGCTCCTGTACGGCCCGATACTCGTGTTTCGTCCTTACAGACTCATCAACCGGGCAGAGCCCGTCGTCTTTCAATCTTTTTATTAGTCAGTTCTTTCGGGAGCCCTACTAGCTTACAGAGAGTCATCGAAGACGAACGTTTTACGCTCTATGTCAAGTGAAGTTTTCTCTTAACACAGAGTGTTGCGCACTCGATTGCTCTTTCACTAGTGTTTTTATCATATTATACCTTTTATAAGCTCTTCTAAAGGTATAATATAATAAAAATATCAACCAAAGAGCAATTGAGTGCGCAACACTCTGTGTTAGGAGAAAATTTCACTTGACATAGAGTGTAAAACGTTCGTCTTCGATGACTCTGTGTAGGGAGTAGGGCTCCCGAGAGAACTGACTATAAAAATATCGAAAAACGACTGGTTCTGCCCGACTGACGAGTCTGTAAGGACGAAACACGTGTATCGGGTTGTACAATAGCCCTTACCAGACCATATGAAAGTTGGCTCAAATAATATTGAAAGGATCTAGTGAAATTTGAGCGTGGTCTTAACAAAGCACTCCGAGATAAAGGTTATTTTTTTGTTACTAGTAGTACCTTTACCGAAGCATTTAACACTACTTTTTAACACTTTCAATCTACTGTGTTTGAAATCTCGTTAAAAAAATTCAGTTTGATCTGATAGAAGGTTTTGAGCCTCTCAGAGGTTTGGTATCTGTACGCTAGTTGCCTGCGTTTCGGCGTTCTCGCAAGCCTCATTTGAACCACGTATCTGATGTTGCGTTCTAGATGATTTTCAGTCGATGTCTTACGGTTGTTACGAGGCACATAAAACCTGTGAATGATCTAAAACATTCAATTAAGAAACATGGAGTTTTAGCGAAGTTTCGAACACAATGGATTGGGAGGTACTGTCATATGCTTCGTAGCACTCGTAAGCCACCGATTGAAAATCAGTCTAAGCCATAAAATTAAATGATATCTCACTTTATCCGGCTGATACAACTGCGGCATCTCTGTTACTAGTGAAAGTGCGCCCTGGCCGATGAGGCGTGCAAGAACTCCGAAACGTACCTAAGCCATCAACGTACGAAACCTCTCAAAGGCTTAGAACATTCTATCAGGCTACCTATACAGAATTTTTTCGGTGATATTCCATTATTTGATGGCGATAAAGTCGCTTCAGAACCCAAAATTACCGAATAAATACGAGATTTTCATTGGAGGTCGCGCCAATCTTTGTAAGCTGTCCGCGTAGCGTGGATTGTTTTCACTATAAGCCTCAATGAAAGTGTTCAAGCCAACGAGCCTCAACATTTCCAATCCACTCTGTACTGAAGTAATCATAAGAGTAATCGTATTCAGTCTATGGGAGTTTTTCTCTACTTCTCCGCTTTTATAGCAGCGTTTTGGTGTTATAACTACATTTTCAATAGCGTTAAGTGATATGCAAAACTCTGAACCTCGAGCGGGAGTTGATCCGCATCTCACCCTTTTGAGTCGTGTTCTAAACATCACACTATCGAGGCTCTCATATTGCCGTCATTGGTTCTGCAATACAAAGCATTGGAGCTACTAGCAACCGCGACTACCAAGGGTTTACCCTCCTGAGTACATTTCGAGGTTGGCCTTTCCCGGGAAGAGTGGGACACGGGTTCAGTTCCTGCTCGAAGCTCAGAGTTTGCATATCATTCAACATTCTTGCATATACAATAGTATTCATTTCAGTGTTTATTCAAAATGACCTCCTCCTTCCGGTCGTCTGTTTGGGATCCTCTTGCTACTCATCAGCCAAATGGTTTGTATGCAGACAGTTTTCTATGCGACAGAATGTGGTGTACTTCTGGCGATTAGTTTGCTGAATGGTTTTGTACCAACGTTGACACATATCTTCGCCCTACAGGTATGACTCCTATTCTTATTCTCGACTTTACATGTTTGAAGATACAGATTTTCTTGGATTTCGTGCATACATAGGTGTTCGACCTTCTTGTAGCCGTTTAGGTTCTTCGTACGATGGTGGTTGTTCAGCTACTGGCGAGTTTATCATGCGGTGTCGCACTGACTTTCGTTGTACAACGATCCAAACAATGCCTAGACTTCTCATGTACCATACATGCGTTTCACTTACTGTTTGTTATCATTTATAACTACAAATTACCCACTCAATTACTCTGGTGGGGAGTCCAGATAGCAAGCATTGTTGTATGCACGCTTCTTGGCGAATTTCTCTGTATGAGGGCCGAATCGCAGGATATCAAACTTGGCGGACCTTCATCAAAATTTGATCTTGTGAGCAATGTGGAGGTCTACTTTTCTTCTGCGACGGGACAAAAACATGACATCGTGCATGTGGACGCATTCTCGGATATTTTTGTTCATAGCATGCCAGCATAGCGCCGATGGTCGTAGCAGACATGTCGTTATTGTCATAGGCACATTTGTGAATTCATGATTTAGTTGCCCAATAACAGCATTCTCTATAGATGTCTCAGCTTACGCTAAATTGGTAACAAGTTTCACTTGGCTAACATCCGGATGTCTTCGTGTTCTTCGAAGCCGATTCATCAGAATCAATAGCCCACAGTTATTCGTTCTCGTAGTGGTTCCTCGTAGTCATATCGAGTCGGAACAACTATGGACCATTAGCTTGGAATCAGCCAGCTTTAGAGATAGAGACGTCGAAACGTTAGCCAAGAAACCTGATAACCAATCTTGTGTATGTTAATCCTCAACAATTTTGGAACCATGGATCCACGCTCTCTGCATTCCTAACTAGCAACTGTGGACAATCCGCTCCACCTCCTCGCATCTCGATCCCCAGCGTGACATTGATAGATGCGACACGCTGGGGGTCAGAGACGTAGAGGAAGTGGGGCACTGTCTAGAGTGTCCAGTTGGAGGTGCAGAGGTCGTGGGTCCACGGTCTCAAGAAGCTTAGAGAAATATACTAACCGTATACGCCGAAGAGTCGGTTTCTACGAAATCCTAATATTGTCACTTGTTGCGAACTTACGAACTGATTTTGGCAAACAACTGATCTCATGCAAATTCTTGTTACTGGCTGCTTTAAGTATCAGCATATTCCCCTGTGTTTTATGGAAATGCCTTGAGTTACCGTATGGCGAATATTTTTTGGGAAGCTAACGAGCTTGGTCCTAACTAGAGCACGAAAATCTGTCTATGAAATAGAAAAAGAACTGAGTGTGATGTCTATCTCTTCGCTTTGTGATGTTATTTATCTACGATCTTATTTGTACCTGTAAATACAATAGACCGTCATCATTTCATGCATTAACGGGTTCACGATCACAATGGTGATATGAATAATTTACCCTCAATAAATAAATAATCTCAGATAGTTCCATAGCAAATCTTGTACGTAAGTTCATAATCACAAATACAATCAATATGTAAACAAACAAACATAATAACGATTTCTAAACGTACAGGAAGAATAGAAATAAAAATGTACTACACCACCCTCAAAATAATAAGAATTTACCAGACCGATATGCAAAGATAAAAACCGCTTAATCGTTTCCCTATTTACTCAGAGCGCTTTTAACTGTGACATGAGTGAAGCCAAACCTTGCTTCGACGTTTCTGGTGTCTGGTTGTCCTGCTAAATAAAAGAACAACTCAATCTCAGCGACTCTGGAAAAGCATGGATCAGTTTTCCAAGAGATAATTGTAGAACACAATAGGTCGCCCTATGGAGCCATAATTTACCGTACTATCACTGCTTAAAAAGAACCACTATTCAAGGAGGACGTCATCACAAAGTTGTTCGGAATTACTTGCGCCGATAGCCTTCGCAAAAGTGTTCGCAACAGCCTTGCTAAGATGATTCCAATTATGATTGACCTCAGGTATAAACCCTCAGGGCTCTTCGTCTTCTATCAGTGCGCATGGGGAGTACGGTCGTTGCTTTGCGACTACGATTTTTCAGAATTTAAGGATTCTGTGAATAGGTTTAACCTGAGTTACTATATAGAAGCTTGAAATTCCTCAGACTAAGTAGGAGCAGAACTTCTATCTGCATCTAGTTCTACAGAAGAGATACGCTACCTAACCACGATAGGTAATTCAAAGAGGACAAGCCGTGTGACCGGATAGCTACTACGCAGGTAAGGGTTCAAGACACAAGAAATGATATTTTGTTAATACCATCTATAAGTTGATGCTTCAAATTTATAATGAGCAAACCTCGATCTCAGTTTCATTCTCTTTCGGTAACTCATAGGCATACTCAAGACCGTTCCCGACCTTTGTGGTTTCTTCCTCAACCTTTGATTCCTCGACAAGTTCTAAATCTCGATTCTTCTGCACCATCAAAGAGTATAGATAGACAAATTATGATGTCCCCTATACATGAACAGAATGATACAATAAAGGATTGGTAGTGGGATCTTAACCAGATGATATGAACGTATACATTAGTAAAGCACATCTTACCGATACCCCAATCATTTTCCTCGTGGATGATCACTTCTTCTTCAGGCTTGGCAATTTCGTCTACAGGTTGAGAAGCTAATTTTACCTTGAAATGATATATATGTATCATATGATGAGGATGCAGGTACTGAATAGACAGTGATGCTGGTGTCCACCTGATATTCTTTCTGTCGCTGCCTACAGAATCGGTCACCGCATTGATCATTTGGTTTCATTTCCTGACGTGGGAAAAAGTCCATAAGAGCATTGTATCCCACGTACATTGAAACTTCGCCAAAATTGAGCAATATCTCAAAAGAGAAAGAATTACTATACAATTCATAACAGACCGGAAGAATAAAAGAAAAGCGTAACAGCAGATAATTGCTGTTGTTCAGATAATAGAGACCTACTTAAGGGCGTTCTGAACGAGAAATCCAGCAACAACAGCCATCGTAGTCGGCAACGATGCAGCACAAACGCCTTCTCTCTTCAATGTCTTCTCATCGATGTTCGACGCTACCACCAAAGGTGGAACACACTGAAACAAGAGATTAGAGAATCCATCACTACGATGACCAAGCGAAACAACAGCAGATCAAGCTTTGAAATCGCAGCGAAACAGGAATCCGGTGAGTGCAGTATCTAGCTCGCGCCCCCCAAAAGTGCGGGAAGCGGGTTCAACTCTCTGCTCAAAGTTGGAAGTTTTGAGTATCTACTTGACATTCCTAGTTGCACACTGGAATTACAACGAAATGGTACTTACTGCGAAACAGGCGGTTCGGCCAGGCTCAATGTACTGGATGTGGCCCGATACGGCGTTTTCGCTCACTCCAGACTCCATCCAGACTTGATTCTCTTCGTTGCATGCCTAAATCATCTCTAGACACCTAATTGTAGTCAAAAAAGTGACAATATTCAAAAGCCACTTAATATTTACTGTATTGATGGTCATTCTTGCTTCGAAATTATCGACACAGCTGAGGACAAGATCAATTTTTCCACCACTAAGCGATCCATGACTGCAAAGATATCCATAAGACTACGTCGGCAATATTTGAAAATCTCTAAAAAATTTCGCATACGATATTCGATCGACGAAACGGTTGAAGTTCTCCACGGTTGTAATGTTGTAGTTATGTGTTTCAAACACGACATCAGGGTTGATATGCCTGAGAAAAAAGTTATGTGAAATTTACAAGGACCAAAAGACTCCGCTGTTCTTCCCTGTATGTAAATGAAGCGAACGATAAAAGAAGACCCTAAGGTTATTAGATCGCTTTGAAAAAGGTGAAGCCAACTAACATCAACGTGTCCCTTGCTGCTTCCACTTTGCTCAGACCCGACTGATGAGGTTGATAGAATAACCGATTCATATTCGCCAGCTCAACTTTATCGTAATCAAAGAGAATCAGTTTTCCGACGGCACATCTCGTTAGCATCTCAGCAACTACGCTTCCAACTCCTGAATAAAATTCTATTTGACAAGGATAAGGAGTAAATTCGTGGATGAAAAGAAAAAGGAGCAATAATTACCTCCAATACCGACAACAGCTACTGTCTTTTCTCTAATTTTCTCATATTCCTTGACAATACCCATTCGCTTCAACGCCATCAGCCTACTGTATGGATTTGAGTCAACAACCTAGGTATAAATCCTATACGTCTTGAAGACTGAATGAAATGAAAATCAGTCGATAAACATCAGAAAACTTGCTTGTTTTTTCTTTTAATTTTATGCCTTCGCTAATGGCGCTTTTGGACGGTTTGCGAAAGACTGACAAAACTCGTGGTAACATCTGATACTCGGCTGGTAAACCTGATTCCCAAAGGGACTTTTGTGAAGGCATTTCTAGTGAAAAAAAAAACGCCCAGACGTTCTTCACAACCGTCCGAACCGCCAGCGAGCCGAAAATGGCTGTCGCGGCAAAAAGATTAAGAAAACGATACCAACAATAGAAAGTTGAAGAAGATGAGCCTGCGATCATTTAGTAGAATCTCAAGGTCTCCTTTCAAAGATCAGTAAATATACTTAGTGACGTCATTCAAAAACCCACTTCATCACTCATTTTCTCGATTCTCTGCCGTCCTTGCTGTACGACATGATTGCGCTCTACATTTCTCGACTCGGAAGCGTAACTATTCAGCTCGTCAGTGAGCGCTCGTACTTTCGTACGTAATTCCTCGATGTTACCGTGAAGATCAGACATCTGAAATACACAACTTAGGAGACGATCAACACAAGAGACAAAACAAATATAACGAGAATCAGTCAGGATTAGATTACTCAAGTTTATGAGACTGTTCTGCGGGCAATGGATTACGAGTCCATGCAATCACTACCCGGTGGTCTTGCTCTCCACCCGGACCGACTCAGTGGAGGATATAAAAAGCGGTGAGTATGTTGAAGGTCAATTTTGTGCTTGATGCGATTGAGATCTAGTTATGGTGAATCTTTTTCATTAAATAGTGGAGGCGTTTGGCTGACTGAGTTCTGGACAACCTGATCTTTCCAGGCTTCCCAGGCTCCGACGAAGGCAAAAGCCCCGAAACGTCAGCTATTTGAATAAATTATCTAAAATGATATAGTCTGATGGAATGTCTTAAGCCTTTCAGAGGTTCTGGTATGGACTCTCTAATGGTAGCCGTAGGTTTCGCCTTTCTCACAGGACCTATCAGTACCAAATGGCAATCGACTCCTCGTTGGTACTACTAAGAATCGTCCGCCGAAGAAGAACCACTCCAGGACGATTCAAATAATCACTTGATGTTGCGTTCTTCCGGATTGATCGATTGTCGATTGAATGGCGTACGGCTGTTATGGAACACATGTAATAATACCCGCCATACCAGACCTCTGAAAAGTTCAAAACATGCTATCAAAGTATATTGAATTTTAAGGAGGTCTCAAAAGAGTCCATTGAAACGGTATTATCTTGGTAGGATGTCTTGAGCCATTCCGAATTGGTACGTAAGCAGTTTGCGTACGATTCAGCGATTTCAGGCGGTCTGAATAGATTGTATTAACCTTTTGGGGACTATGAGGATTTTTTTCGATGCTCACCGCGCGGCGTCAAATCTCACTGGCTACCGTGTCGGCGAAGTCGCGCCTTGTGGAAAGTCGGTAGGCAGGCAGACATACATGAACAGACATGCAAAAGCTATCTCCTGCGACTGCCGCGCAAGCGACGGAGCGACGCCGCCTTCCTATCAACGCTGCTCTCCAGGGGTTAAAGCAACCTCGGGTTTGGCTCGAGAAGAAAAATCTATGAACTACAAACCATTCACAGTCGCGCTGAAAAATGAGGCAACAACTCAGACTTGTAAACTACGAGCAGTCAATAACTATTAGTGCTACGACAGACAATCGATAGCACTGATTCAATCCGAAAGTAACATGAATATCCCCTTCTTATCGACTTGTGTTCTTGGGCGATTACAACACGTATTCATCAGTAAAAAAAAGAGTTCTCCAGGCGTCACATCGATTACGAAAAGCTTCTCAGTGGCATTTATATGTGAAAAAAGCTATGAATATTTGGAATACAAACATGGATATCAGTAAAAGGACGTTAATATTCTGATATATCGCTTACAAACATCTTTTCAAGCTGATAAATCTTGAACGCACAAATCATCGACCTTAACCAAGCCTATGCCATAGCGTAGAGGCAGGGTGGAACCTCAAACTTGGGTAATCAAACCTATGGGCACACTCTTTAATTTAGAATTCCCTTCTCTACATACATGGAGTTTGGAGCAAAGCCTTCAGAATAAGATAATAAAATAGAAATCTCAATGCTTTTCACTACTTTTTCACGGTGGCATGATGTTTCAAATAAAACCTAAGAAAATTGAGTAGTCAGCGAAAATTCGACCTCAGGCGGGAATCGAACCCGCGTCTAATTCATACCGGGAGCACGTGCTACCACTGCACGGTATGGCTGTGAGACACGGATTCAACTCGCTTCTGAGAGTCGAATTTACTTACTACTAAATAATATGTGGCCTCTCATGGCAGTTCTAAAAAACCCATAGAACTTTGGTGTTTTCTGAGAGACTGTTTTGAGCCTGCTAGGGGTTTGTTACGTCAGTGGTTTACATACGTTTCAATGGTCTACCATTAGCGGAGTTGACTGATGGGGCGTGAGGCTCCGATGAGGCGGGCGACTGCCGGAACGACGCAAGAGACTCACGCACCAACCCCAAAAAGGCTCAAAACGAGAGGTTTGATGGACGAGCCAAATGAAAGGTGGACTGTCTGAAGAACAGCAGTTGACCATCGACTGAAACAGAATGATGAAGACATGGGATAACCACGGTTTCACGTCGTCTCGCCGTGACGACGTCTGCCTGTTCCCACTCTTAGTGGGGAAACCGGCGGGACTTATGGCTCTGATGAGGAGGGCGACACGGCCGAAACGTGTGCAAGCCATTGTAAACGAGACCTCGAAAGCGCTTCGAACGTCCTTCAATAGATACAGACGAAATAAAATCGAGCCAAACAGAAATATAAAGCGAAAATCAGATTGAAATTAAGCTGAGACATATTTAGAGTGTAAAATAAGAAAAATAAATAACGAATGAAAGAAATAAAGCGAAATATCGAAGAGAAAAAGTCAATGCACAAGTCGAAACTGTTCGGATTCGCAGAGCATGCACCTCTCACTTTTAAATCGATTTTCTCCCGTCTGCTTCGTATTTATTGATTTATTTATCCGCGCATTTATCGACTTATTTTTGATCTACTTAACTTCGCCGCTATTTACTTAATAGCCAAAACATTCGACGAGAATTTGGATAAAATAAAAAATAGAAACTAAATGGACACCTTCGTTCACGCGATGTTGCAGAACACACATCACACATGGACGGAAATTTGCACGCGATCTGTCGATGACGAATTCAATTGTTCACCGTCTTGAGCTCGGACGATCTTTGACACTCTCTGTCGCCGATGCTTCCTTGTCTTTTTTTTTAAATTATTTTTAGAAAAATTTGTTGACGACAGAGCTCGTCGAACGCGTCAAGTGCAGCAATTGACTTGTCGTTGAACGGCCGTAGTAAGAGTTCAAAGACCGATTTTCATGGCCTGGCGGCTCTAAAAAAATGAAAGGAATTTCACGTCTCTGAGGTTTCGCCCAGCTCGGAGCCGCTTTGTCAGAAGTAGGACCACTTATGTTACAGTACCTTCCGATCGATTGTTTTGATACCTCGTTTATCAATTCCGTGTGGAGCGCCGTGGCCGAGTGGTTGTGGTGCTCGCCGCGGCGCGCGTGGAGCCGAGCTCCATCCCCAACATTTTCCGGCAGTCAACAACGAACCCCTGAGGAACGCCACGGCCAGGTTATCCTTGAGATTGAGGAAACTCGCTGAACCAGTTTTTCTACGACCTTTCAGAGGAAGTCGAAGCCTTGAATTCAATGCTAGAAGTATTGGGATCCGCACAGTGAGAAAAAAACCTGTGAAAACGGATCACTAAAGTGTCTAAATACGAGTCGCAAGGTATTGACTGTAGGAAACTGGTCAGTGATAATTTATTATTTGTCATATATCGTTAAGCATATATCGTAGAGCCGTTACCGACTGGATTCCTCGGGACGTCAAGCGCTCTAAAGGAAGACCACTGACCCGATGGTCCGATTTCTTCACGAAAGCGATGGAAGAAAGATTTGATGCTCATCGAATTCCTAGAGCCAGGAGGACCCACTGGGCTACTCTTGCACGCGATAGGGAAAAATGGAAGAGTTGCTGGTACCCGCTCGAGTCACTCGACGATCAACGGGACGACAGGTGATACAGGTTATCGTTAAGCATTCTTCAGCGCTCAATCCCTACAATAGGGGGCGAGTGGCCGAGGTAACGGCTATGACGATGCCAAAACCCTCCGGAACACGCGTATATACAGCTATTGTCACGGATGCTTGTACCCAAGCCTCATAAAGACGATTTAAAACACTCTCCAGACTATTTCCCTATTCGTTCGATATCAACAGGCTTCTTCCAAGAAAGTGATCGAGATCTAATGTTCGATTGCTGTCGGAGGAATTACAATGCCCTTTTCCCATATCGAGTATTTTTCGATACTTTTGATTCCTGGAGTCCTGAGATGAGATCGAATCGGAACACTACTAAGTGCTCATCATCGACCCAATTCTTGTAACACGAGGAGAATTGCTGATCTCTACAACTCCGATTCTTCTGGAACGATCCGGTCGCGATTCTGACTGCAGTGAATATGTGCTATGCGGTTGAGACTTGAGGATTTGAAATCCTATGTTAATCATTTCATACTGCGATACATCGGGGAGGTGGAGTAGAGTAGTGGTTAGTGATGTGGTGTATCAGGAGGCAAGGTGATAAGAAAAGAGCTGGTTCGACGTCCTCATCCAACATTCTCCTACAATCAGTCAATTGAGCGTCTCAGCTCAGCTATTCCCAGGATTACTGGAAGAATCATCTCAACCAGTATTCTCCGACAGTCATAAGGATCAAGGTGTTCTCAGGTAGCAGCTGAAGCAACACTTTAATGTTTGAAGACCTCTGTGGAGCTCGAATGTGAACAAACAATCGAATGCGAGAATCATTAGGATCCGTGCGGTCAATTGTAGTAACGGGTTGTGTAAACTAATCAAGCAAAACATTGAGCACGAATAAACTCAAGAGACATCTAAAAAGGATTAAATGAAATGCAGAAATCAAGCACTACGCGGGGTTGAACCCACGTTTCACCCTTACGGTGTATGTGTGCTACCGCTGCACCATCAAGGCCACCGTCTTGCGACCACTTATTCTGCGATGTGAACTATCGAAGTCAGGAAAAGCCATAGATTTTGGAATTATGAGTTAGAAGAAAAAGTTTTTGCATAAAATCAGCAATTCAAGATTTCGTCCTTCAAATTTCAACATGTGTAACACTTGTTAGTGGGCACATGCACCCAACATATCTAAGCTCGTAATGAATCTCATCTTCATGATTTTTCCCCGTCTTATCACGAATCCCCCATTTTTTTTACTACGATACGGTGCTATTTAAAGCCTCTTGATAATATTGCCAGTTATAATTCATTTTCCTCCAAGTCATAGATGTTTATCTAACGCTCAAGAAAGAAATTTGGAAGTGGAAGTTCAGGCTTGGAATCACTATCTCTAAGACATTTGAGCGAAGTCCCTTATTTACTTAGTAACTGCTCGAGTCCTCTACATTCATTGGCAACACTTTCAGCATTCAGTTGTTGTCTTCGTTCTTTCTGCCTTAGCTAATTGTCTCGCAAAATGCTTGTAGTAGATGTTGGGTTGTTCCATAAGTCTGGCGCTGAGCAGTAAACAGCAAATTTATTAACCAGAAATGGTTAAAATTGCATGATTTGGGTGTTGTTCAATTTCGCATTTTCTTGCCAACATCTTGGTATACAACTTGTCTATACTTCCTCTGATATGGAGCTGTCATAGGAACAAATCGCTTGCTACTCGTGTACGAATGGCGCGTAGGGGAAAAATGCCAGTGAAGCGGCGCTCGAGAAAGATTAATGGAGTTTGGGGCGATGATCAGCTTCAGAAAGAACGGCTAGCCTCAGCTCCATCTTAAAGCAAATACAGACAATTTATATATAAAAATGTTCGCAAGAAAGTGCGCAATTGAACGATACCGAAATCATGCAATTTTAATTATATCTGGTTAATAAATTTGGTGTTCATTGCTCTAGTGCCTAAAACCTAGGGACCGACATAATATTATGTTTACCAAATAGCCGTCGGCTTGAAATTCGTTAGTTGAAACCTATAGGTTAGGGTTTTTTATTTCTACAGGATCTCTACCAGATTTCGGATCTCTGTTTGTACCAGAAGTGCCTTCGAATGGTATCACTCAAACCAGAAGTTTGTTTCGGCGGTTGGGGCGAGTGCTGAATTTTCGACTTTTGTAGGATTCAAATGGCCAAGTGAGTTGAATTTTATTCTGCTTGTAACTTTCGATTTATGCTTCGTTTTGCTAAAGTTTCCTATTATCGATAGGGTAATTGTGATTTTCTGCAAACTAATAAAACTGATATATGACTGTCTTTTGATTTTACATATCTATTTGTTCTACTTTACTCCGTTCTACCATCTCAGTTTTCTGCGCGGATCTCAACACTTCCTGTATGCGATTCGTTTCCTCGCATTCATCCTCCACAAAGGCCTTCAAATGCCCGCTGTTGTTTTCAGCTGCTGCTTTGAATTGTTCGACTTTTTATAAATTGTCGTCTATAGGTGGTCGAGGCGATTCTCCCTGTGATATTGGGGATAGCCGACCTTACAAAAGAGCGCTTGAAAGAATCAAACCATCACCTCACTCTTGATACACTGTATCACCAACCAATACGTTACCCTCGCTCCTTCTTCCCCATATTCTGGTTTGAAGTCGTGAGTCTTTTGAATCTCTACCTCGTGCGTTTTTGCGAATTTTGGTGAGCTGGAGTTGTTCGTAATTTTCGAATGTGCGATGATGTAATAGTGAATTCCCAAGTTGATGGGGTTGTGAAGGTTTCTTCCAACCATTCAATATAAAATTTATCTCCAGTTATGACATGAAAACCGCTGTTATGACGGGGATGAGATGCCCAGTTAAATCTTGAAAACTGTAGGCAATCCTTCCTTCCCACGCGTTTCGAAAAATACTAGTTTGTAAATAAAGTTTCCATCGTTTGGATAAATCATTCAAAATTTTTGCATATATCCAAACAACAAATAACAACTACTATTCTAGAAAATATAGGCCATCATTATTCACCACTTTTTGCCATCGGTCCGCCAGGTTTTGGATTTGATCAAAGTACTACTCCTTCGGATCTGAATCAAAAAACTCTTGACATGCTTCTTCAACGTCATCGAAAGATTCAAATAGGCGACCTTCCAAAAAGTGTTGCATTGAGTGGAAAAGGCCGTAATCAGATGGAGCAA